TACTTTTGTTCTTAGATTTAGGTCTTTCAAGGGGGCATCTCTAGCATGTCAAGATCCATCATGTGTGCAACCAAGGGGTGTGGGACGGATAAAAGTGGTGCCCAGTAAAGACGGGCAGGTCTATTTAGCCATCATACAAAGCAATAAAGGCTACATGCAGCAAACAGTACCTTGGCTAGGTTTAGCATCCAGCCTTGGGAAGCGTTGGCAGAGTTGCCAATGTCAATAACAGGCAGCACATTGAGCTTAAGGTATTATAAGGACATCAACAATTTAATGAGCAGCGACATCTTGTTGATTGCTTTATTTAATCCTTCTATCTGATGTAGGTACATTATAATCTCATCTTCAGAGTACAGCCTATGGTGGCATGGGATGTTAGGCATCTAAAGAAGTATGCAGCTGGTCATGGTGGGGCACACCTTTAGTTTCCAACGCTTGGGAAACAGAGGCAGGTGGATCTCTCGGAGTACAAGGCCAGTCTGAATTGCACACCTCTCTCCAGGCCAGCCAGAGCTACATAGGAAGTCCCTGACTCTAAAGAAGTATGTAATTCATACATAGCCCGTATTCTAAGGAGTGCAGTCAGAGCAAACGGTAAGAATGTGAACTGGAGCAGGTGTTAAGTCCAGTGGCATTGTACAACTCAATAGTATTAATAGTGTTGCTACTTTCTCTTTCCATTGGTATTTTATAAAGCCTTCTTAATCCCTGAATCTTCTCTGTTTGTGCTCACTGACACAGAAAGAATGTGATGTGTGGCACATACCTCTCTGAGACCTTACAAACCAGCTGCACAACTGTGGTTTTACAAGTTGAGTAATTTAACACTGCTCTTGATAACAAGCTTACTTAGATATTTTGTATATACAGTTACCAACAGCTTCCACCGAAACCCAGGTAAAACCAGAAGGATTTCAGGAGGCAAGGAGCTGCTTTAAAATTCTATTTGGCGCCCCAATAAAAACAATAATTTTCACGAATGTTGTCACTATCTTTCTTGCTTTCCTACCCAAAAGGGCCCTTCTGTGTTCTCTTCCCATGCTTCTCCTGGTTGGGTTGTAACTTTATTGATTTGTTTAGAGTGGAAGATGTCGCAGTGTTGTGTAACAGTTTCCTCTGAGATTAAAACATCCTATCCTGTAGAAAGCTCCTTAAACAGGAAGGTAAACAAGTCAAAAACAAACAAACAAACAAAACTCCAGGAAGTCCCTGAAACTGACCAGATTCACTAGACCCCTCCCTGCCAGAGTGAGCAATAAAAGCTCAGAGTCCCCCTAAGAGCCGGCAGAGTCAAGCTGCAAAGAAGACTCCTACAGCAGACCAGGTGCCTGGAAGATGTAGAAACCAGAGGTGCTGCTGGAAAGTGATTTAGACCAACTGAGACACCTGCAAGGGGCACTCTTCAGCCAGTTGAGATGTCCCCAAGCTGTGTAGCGTGCTCCAGTTCCCAGCTTTTGTGAGCTGTCACCCGTGCTTGGTGATACAGTGATCCTGCAGTCATTTCTGCTCCTGTAAGTATCCTCTCACCCATATTGCTCAGTAACCCCAATAAAACTTATTCATTGACCAACTTGGACTTTGGTCTCTGGTGGGTTTCCTATCTGGAGTGAGAAGATATATGTGTTTCATCTTCTCAGGGAAAATTTTGTCACGCAGCAAGCTGAAAGTGTCCCTTTACCTGGCAAGAATGCCCTGCATTTAATTGGGAAAGAAATACATTCATATGAAGCTGGATGCATTATACTTGAGGTTTTAAATGGTACCCAGTATTAGGAAAAACAGTATAGCTTTTTATATGGGTTTGTAAGATTGCCACCCAAGGGCTATAGATAGAGCAGCTGGACAGCATGAGTTTACTTCCCATGGTTCTAGAGGTCAGAAGTCAAGGTCAAAGTATTTCCGAGGTCGGCCTCTGTATTTTGTGTTTTAACAAGTAAAGCTTGTTTGAAGATCAGAGTGCAGAGCTAAGCCACTAGAGGCCAGGCAGTAGTGGCACACACCTTTAGTTTCGGGATTCAGGCGACAGATGGATCCGTTAGTTCAAGACCACCCCAGGCTTTAAGAAAAAACAGAGCTCACACAAAGGTGATCCCAGCACTTGGGATCCCATGCCTTTAATCCCAGCACTAGGAAGGTGGAGACAGGAGTGATATGATTGGGGGAGAGACGAATATAAGGTGGAAGGAGACAGGAGCTCGGTGCAGTCTGAGGACAGGACCGCCCCTTTGGTCTGAGCATTGGTAGAGGTAAGAACTCTAATGACTGCTGCTCTGCTTCTCTGATCCTTCAGCTTTCACCCCCGATTACCTGACCCTTGAGTGTTTATTATGAAGACCAATTAGAATTTGCGCTACAGGCTTCCGAGGCTGAGGCTGCCTTCTGGCTGGGTCCTCACATGGCCTTCCTTCTGTACCCTACTCCCTTCATGGTCTCCAGTCGTGCTGGATTAGGGCCCATCCACTTGACTTTAGATCTGTTCACATAGCCTCATTTTAATTACTTCTGATACAACCCCTCCTAGACAGGGTCATATTCTAAGGAATCGGGGACTGGTTCTTTAACATATGAATCGGGGCATACAGTTACAGCTCGGCACATAACACTTTCTCTCCGCCATACACAACTATTAATGGAAATAGATCATCCAAGAAATGTCACGAGTGGAGTTATATCTTACACAAGAAGGAGGTTGTTGGTTGTTAAATTGGGTCAAGTTTCAATCCCCCTCTAGAATTAGGTGCCTGTGTGCCCTCCGATGGTTCTAGGGGGAATGAAGGGAGGGACCCTCTTGAAAGACTTAGATCTCTGTGCAAGGCAGAATTTCTACAGCAACAGAGTCCAGTTTTATTTGTTACAAAGTTGTGCAAGGATTGGAACAAGTACCTTTGAAGGACCCCAACTCATTTTAGCCACAGTTATGTCATTTTGCAAAGAAGCTCAGTTCAGAGAAGGGCCCCCGGAATGCTGAGCAAAGCAGGATACCTGAGGTCAGAACGAGGACAGCCTTATCAGGCTGCAGGACAGGGGATTTATGGTCAGACATCTGGCGAGATATCCAGGACAGCCTTATCAGGCTGCAGGACAGGGGATTTATGGTCAAGACATTCTGGCCTGAGTGGAAACAAAGACTTCAAAAGACGACCATATGTGCTTGAGATATGGTCTGGTCAGTTATCTGGTTTCTTTGATCCAGGCCAAGGACCATGAGGCCTGCCCTCAAATTCACCCCTCGCCTCATTCAAACTGGCCAATGGGACCCCTGTAACCGCGCTTTTGCTTCTGTAACATTGCTTCTGCCTATATAAAGATACCCCAAGACGTAGCTCGGGGTGCTCAGTTCTCCATGTGACTGCAGCACCCACAGGCCTGTGAACAATAAAGTTTGCCTCTTGTTCTTGCATCCAGTGGCTCTCCGACCTGGTTCTTGGGCACAGGTCTCCATGCGTGTGAGACACCCTCTGGGTGCTCTTTCACCTTTATTCCAAAATCAAAGCAGTCCAGTAGATTCCTCTGCCAAAAAAAAAAAAAAAAAAAAAAAAAAGGACTAAGCGGTTTGAAACAGTTTGTAAACTGAACTTCCTATAAAGCAAGATAGTAGCGGGGTGTATTTAGAGAGAAAGGCATCAAGAGAAGGAAATGACATATTGAAGACAAAATCTGCCAACAAGCTGTTGAAAAGTTAACCTGCCCTCTGGGGATAGTGCTGCCCTCCTGTAATTCCAGCATTTGCGAGGACAAAAAATAGTTAGACTGCCAAATCTGAGGCTAGATTGATTGTGAGTGACAAGCCCATCACATAGTGAGACCCAGTCACAAGGAAAGAAAATAATTATTAAGATTTTAGCGTCTCTAACTTAAGTAAGAAATCTCTCCTTTTTTTTTTAAGTCACAAAAAAGGAATCTGATAATGATTAAATACAGGAAATGTGAGGTGGACTTTTTTAGTTTGGGGAGGAGAGAAGGAAGAAAGTATTTATATAATTTACAAATTATCTCAAAAATAGTATGAGAAGAGAAAGCTTGAACTTCAGCTTACCCCACTTGTTGGTAGAAAAAGAAAAAACATGAAAAGAAGTTGCCATGCTTTGATCATTTTATAAAGCACTGTAGTGTTCAAATTGCATGTGTGGGGAGAGAGAGAGAGAGAGAGAGAGAGAGAGAGAGAGAGAGAGAGAGAGAGA